TGACATTCCCAACACTGAGGTCATGAGGAGGAAGATGTTATCTGCCCTTGCCACCAGGTGGAGAGACTTCAAGACTTTCTTGACATGGGAGTATGTAGTTGGCCATGGAGAGCGACAAAATGAGACTCCCTGTCTAAAGTACCAGATCACTGATGAGGAGTGGATGCAATTTCTTGCCACTCGATTGGACCCTTCTTGGTAGGTTAGTTATTGATAACTCTTACATTGACACAAATAATTAAGGTATATTTTAATTAATCTCATTTTCTTATTTGTATTATTGTAGGCCAAAAGAGTAGCTGCCTAAGAACGATAGAGCAAGAATGATGCACCCCATCTATTGTCAAGAGGGGGATATGAATTAAAAAAATGATGAAGGATAGGGTAGAGGCATCAGAGGTTGAGTCTGCTGACCGTGTGGAGTCACCTCCCCGCTATGAGATGTGGATAGCAGCCCGAACAAAATCAGAGATGGGCAAATGACTTCTAAGTCTGCAAAGGTCGTTACTGATAAAATAGTAAGTAAAAATATACAAACTAAGACTCTTCATTTCAACTCATTTAAATCATAAGTGTAGTTTAGGGTATACTTATTGTTAATATGTTGCAGGAGGGTTTAGTTGAGCAGACCACCCAGGGCTCATTTGTTCCCCATGGTCGAGATGATATCCTGCAACGGCTATAGGAAGGCTAGAGCACGCAATGCGTGTGCGTGGTGTTGGTGGTTCTTTGAGTCACCGAGATTACTTTGGTGCACCACCATCGAGGAGTAGTACTGTTGAATCTTGCAGTCAGGAGGCTATGTAGAGAACGGAGATGCAGTTTGAAGAGAAATTGAAGAACATTCGAGAAGAGTTTGAACAGAAGTTTGAACTTTTGGCTCGTTCTCAGCAACAGACTGTAGTTGCTCATGATGGTGTTCGAGTCAGCAATAAAGGGAGTTGTGCTGCTCCAGATCCCTCAAGAAACCAACCATTCTAACCAGAAACTACAACAGAATCATGATATAAACCTTGCAATTAAAGAGTATGAACCAAAAAAATAGCCACCAATACCAAAAATTGCAACATAATCATGCTACAAACCATGTAGACAGTCAAGAAAAATATATATCACAAATATTATATGATAATGACAATTCCAAACACACATGACTATATTATCCAAGGACCAAAATAGACCAACCAGTTAACGTAACCAGCAACATAACCCATAGTTAAAACTAGAACTACAGACCAACAACTCCATGAAGCCAAAACATAATAGCAACACCAAACCAGAGATGTGTAGCAGCCAACTAGTTCCTAACCCAATAACCAAGGACTAAGAGTAGTCCATTTAGACTCTAAACAACCAAAACTAGAACTAAACCAACAAAACATCTAGCCAAACCAAAAATTGCAATAGAAATCATATTTCAAACCATGCAACCAAATATTATAAGCCAACAAAGCAACCAACCAAACCAGAAATTGCAGTAGAAATCATGCAACAAACCATGCAGCCAAAGACCATGAACCAACAAAACAACCATTCTAACCAGAAACTACAACAGAATCATGATATAAACCTTGCAATTAAAGAGTATGAACCAAAAAAATAGCCACCAATACCAAAAATTGCAACATAATCATGCTACAAACCATGTAGATAAAGATACCACACATATTATATAATAATATATGCACATTAATTACTTACATGTGTTTCAGGAGTGAAATAACTAGCTAATTTTTCAGGGATCCTTCTTTCATGTAGGCCTTAAAAGCTGATTCTAAATTGTTGTATTTCTCTTGCCATTGGTTTAAAGATGGAAAGGCAACACCAGATGAAGAAGAGCTCAAGCTAGAAACACAAAGTCTTGTATTCTTAAATGTATTAGAAGGAACAACACCCAATCCCATGCATCGTACTCTCCTAGAGTGCTCTGGCCCTAGCACTCTACCAACAACATCTAGAGGAGAAACTTCATATTCTGACTGAGTGTTTTTTCTTTTCTTATATCAGCCAATCGATGCTTCAAGTGTTCCTAATACACCTTTGGATGCAAGAGGATCATTTGGTGCTAGCAACCCTTAGTTTGCATATAAAGTATTTTGGATTTAAAGTTTAGTATGAGGCTAATTTGACAATGTTATGGATTTTATGTTGTACTTGGATTTATAATAGAAGTTTGAATTATAAATCTTTGAACTATATGTTGTGTTTTTGGTTATTAATGGAATTTCTTCATCCATTTTATGTGTTTTTTTTT